GGGTTTAGCCCACTAACTCACCAATTCCAAAACTAGTAACTTCTTTGTACCAATATGTAATTTACAAGTTAATTGCTGTAAAAATAACCTTTGTCCGGGAGCCGGTAGGCGACACACTATTGTGCATATGACTCAATAAACTAGCATAGTAAAAGCAGAGAATTATGTAATCCTGCTACTAGAGTATAACGAACTCCCAAGCAGCAGAGCAAGAGAAGCAGACAGCGAGGTAGACAGCGCGGACAAGGGGAGGTTAGTATGTGCTCATTTTACAGTAATATTACAGGCTCATTGTGCATATATATTACGACTTTGACGTTTTAATAAGATAATTCACAGCGAGATTCCGGAGTTAGCAAGCTACTGTCTTATTATCCTTCTCTTATACTGCCAAATTCTAGTGTTCCAACCACGAGCCTCCGTCCTGCATAAATAAACAAGTCCCGGCTACGTGCCAAGTTCTGGATATGTGATGAGTCCCTTTCTAGTTTCTAAGAATCATACTTCCTTTAATAAACAAGTCCCAAAAGGAAAACCCTGCAGTTTTTTGCCCACTCTAGAAAGATACTAGACACTAGTGGTAAGTGGACACAGTAGAAATGCACCCCTCACAGTTCTAACAAATGGTTAAAGATACTAGACACTAGTGGACACAGTAGAAATGCACCCCTCACAGTTCTGACAATTGGTCTGGTGACAGGACTACTTATAAACTTGTTCTCCAATTCAGCTACTTGACAAGAATAACACCCCGTCAACTGTTATTCACATAGAGATTAGATAATGTTTACACAGTGTTTACAGCTACCTGCTTAATTAAGCATGTAACGTGCTACATAAAGCGCAAAGCAAAGCTATTTTCCAACATGATATCTAACAAAACTCTGAATAGAAAAGAACTTTTGCAGTGGGACAATATAATGTTCTGTTATCAATAGTTTATAAATACGAAATTGCACAGAAAACCTCCTGTACCCAGTTAAGCAATGCATCAGATAACCCTCAAGCACCTGGACAGGCGCCTGGTAATGGTGGTTTAACTGCACGTTTTATGCGCAATAAGGGATGTTGCGTAAAAAATAAGGAGCAAGAAATAACAAAGTTCTGCAATACTGAACTTAAACAATTGTATATAACAAGCAACAAGTACTGTAAAATATAAAATGTAATCTGATCATGAATAGTACGACTGCATATAAGCATTGAACGTGCGGCACCGGGGATAAGAGCATACAAATGAGCAAGAGGAGAAGTTGGAGCAGGTCAATTCAATAGTGTGATAAGAATCACGTGGTGATAAGATTCACGTGGTAAACACGTGCTAGCAGCCTGATGGTTCTTTGTGAGTGGTTTCAGTTACTGCTGCTGACGCCGCCGTGTTTTCTGTTAAAGGTAACCTGTCTCTCATCAGTACTAAACACTGTAATATGTATTGACATTTAGTTTCATCTTGACCCATCTTCCTGTCACTTAACAGATTAGCTGTATCATGAGCATGCAGCATAACTTGAAACTTATCATGCATTATATAATTGACAACATTTTTAAAGGACTTAACAACTGACAAAATAGTGCACACGTGTTAGTTATATATACACTGAACCTACAGTCCAAAGAGACTGCATATGATAGGAGCAAGGTCATGGGCTCATTTGTTCAAAATAGATTTTATTGGCAGTTTGTTGAAACCCCTCATTTTGTTGAAACCCCTCATTTGTCGTCACGAAGCTGGAAACTTTTATCGTAAGAGAGAAACAATGACGAGTGACCCTTGACAGTTAGCAGCTCCATATTCAATATAGCATATCGACCAATGTAGCACACACAAATGTTGAAGACAAATAGTAATATGAAAAAAGAGAGAAAATAAGGAGTAGATTGATCAGATAACACTTACCACATATAATATTAATTAGTAGGGGGATAGAGGCCCCCAAAGTCCTACATCCCGTCTAACTTAATCCTGAACAACTTAAAAAAATTAAGGGTTTTGAGATGGAAGATCGTATAGTAGTAAAGTGTAGTGACCCACCTCCTCCCTCTCCCCTCCCCCCCTCTCCCCCCCCCCCCCCCCCCCAGTAAACGTGACTAAACGTTGGAATTACTCGGCTCAGTGAACACTGAACCTAATGGCAAGGGAGCCCTTAATGGCCTTCACTCACGTGCAGCTCCATATACTATACGTGCAAAATATAACCATATCTACAAATTATGTGAAAGAATATCAACAAATTAAATAATTAGGCTGGGTAATAAAAAGAATGGAATTTATGTATCAGGTGCACTGTGCAGTAGAGCGTTCCATAAATTTCAGGTTCCGTGTTGTTAGGGAGTGACTCCCAAATCCAAGTCTACTTGCTGGGAAGTAACTGGAGTCTGCAACAGTTCAACTTTAAGGGTTTCCAGGCGAACTAAAATAGCTATGCTATTGCTTGAAATTTAGCGTGTAGATAGAAACGCAAGAGCTCTAGACTTTAATATTCCTACGGTAAATGCAACCTCTATATTAACCTCTCTATTTTCTGATGTGGTCGTAGACTCGTGCCCATTAAAACGATAATGTACATTGAATCAAATACTGTCTAGCGATCAGTGCAACTGAGTATAAATGGTTATGAAATGGGTTGAGTATGCAGACGGAGTAAGTAACCCTATAACAGTAATCCTATAACAGTAATCCTATAACAGTAATCCTATAACAGTAATCCTATAACAGTAATCCATATTCCATAACAGCAAATACACAAAATAGAGACGCGTCAGTTTCTCACGATTTAGAGAAGATTGTACTACAGCAGTTGTAGTGAGACACTGCAACTGTTAAGGAGATTCTAAAGAATAAAATATAGAAGTCATCTTATTCAAACTAGTTTTAATAGGTGACTTATCTACTAAGTAACTATCAGCTGCCTAATTACCTCGCTGTATTTAAAGTTGTATCCATGAAGTTGAGCAAGGCCGACCTGAGTTTAGAGATGCAAATAGACAAGTTAATGAGCCAATTTAAGTGACAACACTATGAAAAGCATATAAATAGACGTAAAAAGAAGGTTTTGATTTATTTAATTTGACAACATTGTAAGGAGTTGAGTAGGTAGCAACTGACTAATTACGCGCGAAGAGAGAGAGAGAGAGAGAGAGAGAGAGAGAGAGAGAGAGAGAGAGAGAGAGAGAGAGAGAGAGAGAGAGAGAGAGAGAGAGAGAGAGAGAGAGAGAGAGAGAGAGAGTGTGTCAAAGAAGACACCCTCACACATTGGTAGTTATGTGGCTACACATCTTGAACACCTTGCTCGATTATACCACCTCAGTTTCACACTGCTCATGCTTTAACCAATAGAAGCCCAGTTTCAAGGAAGTGAGAAACCAATCAAAAGTTATTAAAACTAGTGGCATTCGTACTTAATTATCATCTGATTAATTAGTAATAACTGCAATTCAATATTGAAATTAAATTATATAGTTTAGAACAAGCTACTGAGCAAATAAAATATTTGTTTCAAAAACCAGGGATTCAGTAAGAGACAAGATAGCAAATGATCGTCCAATGATCAGTACGTTTACAAGTGTCACAGTGTTCACAAGAGTCACAAGTGTCACAGTGTTACAAGTGTTAACAAGTTTCCTCATTCGATCAAATTGGATAAAATGGTAACAAACAAATGCGATGATAATCTGAACTAGTAATAAAATGTATAAAGATGATCTTCATGTTTATTGGAGACGAGGGGAGCTATATTTAAAGTCAGCGTGATTGTTAGTATAGGCTGGAATTCATAAAACTGCATGTTATTGTGTGGAAGATAAGAAATTAGTTAAATACAAGCAGTTACCTACTCAAGCAGGTATTAAACCGTACTATTCAGTGCCATGACGAATCAATCATGGGAAAGGAGAAACTGAGAAAAGGCTTCAATGTTAAAACAGGGAGGTCGCATTGTCTATCATCACTCGACATGGAATGAGAAAAATTCCGAAATTATATCGATCACATGATAATAAAATGCTATTATTAGACTATTTACAATTAAGAAAACAAGACTATTAAAAAAACAAAGGTAATTTAACGTTTCAACGAAACCGTGCCAATGCTGACTTTAATAATATTCTAACTGGCTTGCTGAGTACGGTAGAAGCATTAGCTCACCACAAATAAGCAGCTACAACAACTGGTATAGTCACTATCAAGCACAGGGATTGCTTATCATAGAATGGTATGGAAGCAATTAAAGTTTTCATTCAAGCTCAAGCATATCAATGGTTACATGTTTCATAGCTTTCTAAGATATACGAATAACTGTAAATACACTAATACTATTTGACGAATAGCCAAATCAGTCAAAATAATATTAATAATATTCGCTATTATATTGAAAATATTCGCTAATATATTATGTTGTCCGTCAAGTATTGACTAGTTACAAATTTATAGTTCCTTGCTCAGATCAATTAATTATATTTTACACTAAATATTAGTAAAGATATTGGTTACTCCAGTTAAACAAACTCTCTGTGAGATGTTATTGTTATTTGCATATTTATTATTTATATTTTATTTATATTCATTAGATATTTACATATTTCCCATTTAACAAGAATTTCTATGGAATATAAACCGGAAATAGTGACATAACTAATAAATTAGTAGCAGAGAGGTATTACTTAATAATTAATATGTAGAAGTAGTATTACTTAATAAGCAATAAGTAGTAGTAGTATTACTTAATAAGTAATATGTAGTAGTAGCAGTATTACTTAATACTACTACACCCCCATCTATGGGAGGCTGAACAGTAACAGTGGGTGGGGGGGGGGGGGCGGGGGGGGGGGGGGGGCGGAGCAACCCCATCTATGCCATTTTACACAAATTTGGGGAATAAATCTGTAACAAAATGCAAGACAAATTATCTGAACAGAATAATGGGGAAAATTAATCATAAAATTGATCATAAAGTTCACAAAATAAAAGCATAAAATACACTAAATTAGTGTCCCTCATTTACCTGGGCGGGAGTTGGGGGCTCAATAACAACGTTAGTGTAATATGACACCTCCCAGGGTCGCTGACTCTGGAAACTCTTCATATGGTCCGGTATCCCGGTAAGGAACCCCCTCTCCGAGTCGGAGGAGTGGGAAGTGGGCGAGGGGCATGCTGTCTGCTGGGGAGATATTTAGTTACAGCTCACTTTTTTAAACATCCGGTTGCGGTTTTACCTATCTTTTGCAAATTAAGTTTTAGAACTTGTATCGATTTATGGTCTGGGATTGGATTATTGCCAAGTGAAATTACCTGACCTTAAAATCAATATTATTGTTCGACTATTCTGAGTCGGACTAAATTATCGTCGTACTTTAACTGTCAACACTTGAGGTTCTACCTTGATTGTCAGGGCTCCAGTTGAAATATTGTGGGGGTAATAAGTGGGGAAAGAACCTGTGAAGCCGAGGAAGGTCGCTGATGATATCTGACATTCTCGTAGTTGTCACTAGGATCGTAAGGGGCCCTGGGTACGGGGATGTACTCGTCACTGCTAGTTTTGCTCTGTAGTGAGGAGCTCTTACTATGCTGCCAGGGAACAAACACTGTTAGATACGGACAACTAACATCCTAGTCAACATACCATTAAAGGCACAGATAAAGTGGAGTAGAAAAGAGGATGAGACTGACCTGCGAGTCCCTTGACTCAGTGTCATGTGATCTACTGCCTGCACTGTCCTGTGACTGAGCCTTGGTAGATCTACTCGATCTGCTGCCCGCACTGTCAGACCTAAACCCCTTCACACTGTTGTCGTGACTGCTAAACTTACTGGGGGAGTAACTGGGGTTACTGGGGGAGTAACTGGGGGAGTAACTGGGGGAGTAACTGGGGTTACTGGGGGGGGGGGGGGGGGGTAACTGGGGGAGTAACTGGGGGAGTAACTGGGGGAGTAACTGGGGGAGTTACTGGGGGAGTAACTGGGGTTACTGGGGGAGTAACTGGGGTTACTGGGGGAGTTGCTGGGGTTACTGGGGTTACTGGGGCCGGGGAGTAACTGGGGGAGTAACTGGGGGAGTAACTGGGGTTACTGGGGGGGGGGGGGGGGTAACTGGGGGAGTAACTGGGGGAGTAACTGGGGGAGTAACTGGGGGAGTAACTGGGGGAGTTACTGGGGGAGTAACTGGGACTACTGGGGGAGTAATTGGGGTTATTGGGGGAATAACTGAGGTTACTGGGGTACGGGCGGGGTTAATTGATCGCTATTCATCCTTAATGAGGCTATTCCGCTATTATATGGCAATCGTAAACAATAGAAAAGTCATTTTGATAAGTTGATATGTCATTGGTTGTTGAAATGTATCTAGTGTATACTGTACATCAAGTAGTTTTTGTCAGATATATTTGAGATGCAGTGTAGTTGGGTGGAGAGCGGATAAAAACAGTAAAAAGAAGAGTAAAAGGAAGAAAACACAGTATGAAAAACACATACCTGCTGTCCTGACTGTGGAATGTGCGGCTGTCAGCACTGCTGAACTCTTTAACACAGTTTTCGTAGAGGGCTACTGTGCCACCAGGGGGCGAGGAGGATTCCTCATCGCCGTTAATGTGCTCATAAGGGGGCTCGTAAGGAGGGTCACTGAGAGGGGGGAGGGGGTTTCAGACACAAATTTAACCCTAATTCCTCATCTTGTGCGATGTTTAGATAATTCGTCTATCAAAGATCATAAAAATGAGGGATCTCATTTATGTTCATTTTTAAAGATAGCAGCTAAAATCGTTAAAATCTATCCAGAAAGAAGATAGGATAATCTCTACCTGAGAAGAGAGTCTGTAAGAGGTGAATCCCGGGGAGTCGGGAACTCAGGGTTGGACCGAACCATCACCTCTGCTGATACCCAGTCATTCGACATCTCACTGCAACAACCTCACGTTATTTCTTCTTACATGTTACAATTGACAATGACGATAATCATGAAAAGATCCGAAATTTCAACTGGGTATATAATAGTAGAAATGGCGATAAAAGTTGCACCACTTCTCCAACACTCACTAACCTGCCATTTTTAGAGGTGACACTCCCGTTTCTCTGGGACTTGTACTCCTTTATATCCTCTATCACTTCATTCTTCTCTTTCGTGTTCTGTTTTTTGGCCTTCTTCTCCATCTTCTCCGTCTTCCGCCCCTTCTTATTCTTCCTAACTTTGGCAAGCTCCTTAGGATTGAAGTACTGGATGTGCTTTTTCGAGACTATCACCTAGGTAACAAAACTATACGTACAGTATAACAGAAACCACTGAGAAAGAAGCTATACTAACCCCACCAAGGTCACAGCAAGCAGGATGTAATAATACTTTCTACATGATTGCTTGTGAGATGAATCATGTAGATTTAAGTGTTCATAAACTCTATAAATCAGCAAAGGGGTTGTGTATGGGCTGTGAGTACTGAGTAGGGGCTGTGTGGGGGCTGTGTTTGGGCTGTGTAGGGGCTGTGTTTGGGCTGTGTAGGGGCTGTGTTTGGGCTGTGTAGGGGCTGTGTTTGGGCTGTGCAGGGGCTGAGTAAGGGCTGTGTGTGGGCCGTGAGTAGGGGCTGTGTAGGTGGTTAAACATTTCGTAATAAAATGATAGGAAAGACCTACCTGCCTATTGAAGATCCTGACAAGACTAAAAAAGGCCTGAGCAACATTCACATTCTCCAGAGAACTAGTTTCAACGATGGGAACTTTCTGGATCTTTGCCAGATACATCATCTCCTCGAAATGTCTTGATCTGCCCTTATCACACTTAGTAGCTACTAGGACTACCGGCACATCTATCAGATCTAACAGTTCAAATACAAACTTATACTGAGTTCCTGCCTGTCTGTCGTTTACCTGGGGAGAGGGGGGGGGGTTATTATTTGTAGGCAGATTTTAATATACCTATCTGCAATTAACGGCCAGGTAGCGTAGTTGGTTAATCATCGGATTTGTAATCGTGAGATTGCGAGTTCGAAACCCACTGCCTGCCTAGTCGTGGGGTGAGTGTCGTCGACATTCAGCTAAAGATCCTGAGTGGTCTATGCAGCCCCCCGGTCTACTCAGCCGAATATTCGAGAAATCGTGTGTGAGGGTTAAATGAGAAGCTGTCCATTGCAGCGAAGTCTCAGGCGAAGAAAGTATGGTACACACTACCTTAACCGTCACTGGCCTAATTAAATCCTTCGGCTTCCTGTAATTGGCTAGTTACACTTGTGTAACAATGTGGCTGTTGGAATACTCCGAAGTAAAATAAGTGTGAGATAAAAAAAAAATCTGCCTACATTTACATTTCTTAATTTTCCAAATTATATAACGTAATATGGATACACGAAAGTGCAAGTGAAAATAGCTATCTTCATATAGTGATATACGCTTTTATTTGGTGAAATCGCAGAGTGAATCGTTGTTCCACATTGAGGATTAATTAGATCAAATAAGGAAATTGAGATCACTCACAATCACAGATGATGAGTAAAAGGGATAAAACAAATACTTTCGAGTGTGAGAATATAGTTATATCATTGTAATTATATTATGGCCAAAGTGGAAAGTTTGTTGGATTTACAGCTTCAAGGCTTATATATAATCTTTGGACATTAAACGAACCTTACTGACATCATAGACACATAAAAATCCGTCAATGTGCAGTTTTCTACTAGCAAATCTCTGAGCTTTCTGAGACTTGGGATCTTGTAGCTGTTCGGGGGAGAGGTATTGTACTTTACGGGAGGAATTGATCGTGGTTGATGTAGCTCGCTTCATGTAGGGGTCCCTAATGGTAATAAATTAGGACTATTAGTGAGGTGAAATATAATTCCTACAATCAATTAACATTTAACATGAGAAAATGTTAATATGGAAATTCTGTTTCCGTTATATTCTGTCTGTTGTAGCAACATCCCTTACTCACCGAGCATTAAAAGGACTAAAAGTGACGTCATCAAGAAACTCAGTTTGCTCAATTATGTTGAACTCCACCATCTTCCCGTCCACTGTCCGCCTAGTGCGACCCCAGTATAGGAACTGATCAGTGTTCACTATCGGCCCATGGAAATCCTGGAGGGATACCTGTCAATACAATACATACAATACCTAGAGAAATACCTGTAAAGTAGCAGATATACAGTGCACCAGTGCAGTGAAGATGAGTGACCAGTGCAGTGAAGATGAGTGACCAGTGCAGTGAAGATGAGTGACCAGTGCAGTGAAGATGAGTGACCAGTGCAGTGAAGATGAGTGACCAGTGCAGCGAAGATGAGTGATCAGTGCAGTGAAGATGAGTAACCAGTGCAGTGAAGATGAGTGATCAGTGCAGCGAAGATGAGTGACCAGTGCAGTGAAGATGAGTGACCAGTGCAGCGAATATGAGTGATCAGTGCAGTGAAGATGAGTGACCAGTGCAGCGAAGATGAGTGACCAGTGCAGCGAAGATGAGTGAGCAGTGCAGTGAAGATGAGTGATCTGTACAGCGAAGATGAGTGATCAGTGCAGTGAAGATGAGTGACCCACTGGCCAGTGCAGTGAAGATGAGTGACCAGTGCAGCGAAGATTCAAGTGACCAGTACAGTGAAGATGAGTGACCAGTTCAGCGAAGATGAGTGATCAGTGCAGTGAAGATGAGTGATCGGTGCAGTGAAGATGAGTGACCAGTGCAGTGAAGATGAGTGACCAGTGCAGCTAAGATGAGTGACCAGTGCAGTGAAGATGAGTGACCAGTGCAGTGAAGATGAGTGACCAGTGCAGTGAAGATGAGTGACCAGTGCAGTGAAGATGAGTGACCAGTGCAGTGAAGATGAGTGACCAGTGCAGTGAAGATGAGTGACCAGTGCAGCGAAGATGAGTGATCAGTGCAGCGAAGATGAGTGATCGCTGCAGTGAAGATGAGTGATCGCTGCAGTGAAGATGAGTGACCAGCGCAGTGAAGATGAGTGACCAGTGCAGCGAAGATGAGTGACCAGTGCAGTGAAGATGAGTGACCAGTGCAGCGAAGATGAGTAACCAGTACAGTGAAGATGAGTGACCAGTGCAGTGAAGATGAGTGACCAGTGCAGTGAAGATGAGTGACCAGTACAGTGAAGATGAGTGACCAGTGCAGTGAAGATGAGTGATCAGTGCAGTGAAGATGAGTGACCAGTGCAGTGAAGATGAGTGACCAGTGCAGCGAAGATGAGTGAGCGGTGTAATGTAGACATGAGATATTTGTTCCACTCTCTTAACACAAACACATCTGTCAACAATGTTGACGAAATAATGCTGACGTAATGTTGCTTGTGTAAATTACAACCACCCTTACTTTATTTGTTGCTTAGTGTGCGGAAACACATTTTTATTGAAACTTGGTGAAACACAAGGTTAGGTATTTTGTTTCACTACCTGCTAACTTGCTGGCTAATAATAAAAGTACCTGCTGACTAATACTAAAAGTACCTGCCGGCTAATACTAAAAGTACCTACCGGCTAATAATAAAAGTACCTACTGACTAATAATAACAGTACCTACTGGCTAATAATAAAAGTACCTGCTGGCTAATAATGGAAGTACCTGCTGGCTAATAATAAAAGTACCTGCTGGCTAATAATGGAGGTATGCCCGAAGCTGGGGGGCCGGTCGGGGAACATGAACCTGTCACATAGGCAGCTCTTCCCGGGACCTGAAGTAGAATATGGTCACGTGTCCACTAAATTTAAACTGCTTAAATGTTCAGTGTCTCAAATTTAGTTCAGACTTGAAGTGTTAGTCTTCCTGGACGTAATTCTAAATGATAGGGATCACCTTGAAAAGATTCACCGTTCTCACGCCCCGAGAGCCCGATTACAGAGATCCAGAATTCAGTCTTGGCGGACATTACCATTGTTGTGACCAGACGACGGTAACATACCGATCCTGTACATACGTCTGCAGGGAGAGGGCCGTGTTAGTTAACTTGATAATTAGTTAATTAGCTGACTAGTTAACCGTGTTAAATATTAATAAAGGATATCTGTCTGGTGATTCATTTAAAAATATGAAGCTATGTCTAGTATTCAGTGAATTGAATCTACAGACAATTTATTTGATTGGGCTATTAAATAGTAGAAATCGATTGGGTGGGAACACCTGTGCAACTAGTGTTATAAATAGTTCTTTTACTGTGCAAGTCATACATTGCTGGTATTAGTGCTCCATTTCAAGGATTACTACTGGAACTGTGCCAACATCGTAACAGCCCAATTACCAACCAGAGAACGAAATTAATTTAATGTTTGAGTACCCATGATATTTTACAGATGGGGGCAATATTTTGAACGATTATATTTTATATTCATTTATTGCTGTACTATGTAAAATTTGAAAAGTATTTAATTAAAAAAAAAAAGAAAATGACAGAGCATTGGTGGTAGTAGCATATTTAGTAATAATTAGAAGCACGAAGCATCATACTATAATTAGTAATAATTTAATTGAGTGAACTTTAATTATTATTAATAATCATTATTCATACTGACAGTAAGATTTTGTGAAAATATTCGCTACTGGGGCGGCTAGCTATGAGTTGAAATCATAACAAAATAGAAATTGTTATTCTTGATAAAAATTTGCAAACTCGTATTAATACAAGCTCGTATTGCAAGCACGGTAAAATAGAAATACGTGTTTTATAACGAAACTAAATTAACATTTCCCTGTAATGTTCACTTTTCAGTTTTCCTGTTATGTTCACTTTCCCTATTAAAAAATGTTCATTACACGTCTTGCATCTTGGTATGAATTTCTTAACACGATGATCTTTATTCATACGCTATGATGTAAGATATGTGTTATTTACGTTGACAGCAAGCTGTTCAAACAAAAACCCTCGAGTATCCAGGATAAGGTTATATATATAAGGCTACTACACTATATAAACCGCTCACATGACGAATCAGCGAGACAAACCAAGAAATGCTGAAAAATAGAAATGAAACTTTAAAAATATAAAAAATAGGATAACGAGACAAATAAGAAAGTAGAAGGATAAAATATAATGTCTCGTTATTACAGTGTTATATTATATGTCACATTATGTGTATGCTCAATGTGTTGAAAAAATAAAGTACATTGCTAGCTGAATAAAATACACTTTAGCACGGCTACATAAAGTGAAAGCAACCAAGCGGTTAATAGTACACTACTACAGTATATTAACAAGGTGAGAAACAAATAACAACTGCCAACAGACGTGATAATGGGACAACCACTCCTTCCGCACAACAGATAGAACGGATAAAGAGGCAAAATGGAGAGTCGTTCTGTAGAAGAAGTCGACACAAAAAGAAAGCGCAGATAGAAGATACAGCAGATTACTAATTGTACCTGACTAGTATTCCCGACAGCAGTTTAAGCGAGCGTGCACGCGATAAAGTGAGTAAACTGGAGCCGTGTGTGGCCCTGCGTTCAAATATTTTCAGAGTGGCTTCAAATGGTTATCATATTCATGACAGTCACCATAGGTCTCCATCGTGGTGAGGCTCGCGTCCCAACGCAAAGTAAAATAGAGGTCACCTGCACTCATTTGTTTTCTAATAGAGGTTGAGGTAACCTGGTAACCTGGTAACCTGGTAACCTGGTAACCTGGTAACCTGGTAATCTGGTAATCTGGTAACCTGGTAACCTGGTAACCTGGACTCACTCACTTAAGGATAAAGACCAAGGTCACTCATGGCTGTGTTTGATGAGGTCACTCATGGCTGTGGTTAATGAGGTCACTCACGGATGTGGTTAATGTGGTTACCATGATGACTGAATGACAGTCACCGCAAACTAAATGTGTGACTGGACAGTGCTTGAGCCTTGAAGCAGGTTATTGTACTAAGGAGAGGTCACATTCCTGTAACTATACATTTTATAGTACTAGTATTATATAATGATAGGTATAGCATATATACTATATAGTACTAGAAACCCGTTAGTCGAAAGCTTTGTTGGAGGAAATTTTATAAATCAGTTATGTTTTAATTTCTTTTCATCGTCTAGCTCTGTTATACTAAACTCTATAATTATATACTAACTGTACAACTCCCTATACTAACTGTACAAATCATGGATTTTATTTGACAATGACAACAACGTTGTAAGTACTTGGATTCCCTAAACGATACTTTTTACCGCATCAAAAATATCAATCACAACCAAAGTTATGAATAGTCATAGCGTGAGTCTAAATGAGAGCTGGTCATGACGTATGATAAAGCATGGCAACGCGCGTTGCTAACCAGTGCTTGCTCGGGCACGTGCAATATTTTTAGGTTGCTAAGCAACGACGCAGTTTACCTTTGCTAAAATAACGCCATTATTCTAACGTTTATTTAACCTCACTTTCGCCGTTAATTAGAAAAAATCTAAAGCCTAAATCAAAATTCTAAGAATTTTATAACGGGTGTATTTCCTTTTTTTACAACCCTGCTAAAAATCGCGAAGTTCCAACTCCATTTGCGAGCTGAAATTGTTCAAAAAGAAGGGTCAGTTTTCCCCGTTGCCAGGAGGATTTCGTCAAGTTTAAAATATAATATAGATAGTGACCTCAATAACTATACATTAACAAAGTCTCTACTCACATTTTGCCTTGACTCGGTAACGACTAAGTGTGAATTAGACTATAATCATAAATCATTCGAGTCTACTAAAAAGTTCAACAGTTGTTTAAGGACCCGATTCAAGGACCTGATTCAAGGACCTCATTTAAGGACCTGGTTCAAGGACCTGATTCAAGGACCTGGTTTAAGGACCTGATTTAAGGACCTGATTTAAGGACCCGATTTAAGGACCCAATTTAAAGACCTGGTTTAAGGACCTGATTTAAGGACCTGGTTTAAGGACCTGGTCTAAGGACCTGATTTAAGGACCCGATTTAAGGACCCGATTTAAGGACCCGATTTAAGGACCTGATTTAAGGACCGGGTTTAAAGACCTGATTTAAGGACCTGGTTTAAGAACCTGATTTAAGGACCTGATTTAAGTACCCGATTTAAGGACCCGGTTGAAGGACCTGGTTTAAGGACCTGGTTTAAGGACCTGGTTTAAGGATCTGGTTTAAGGACCTGATTTAAGGACCTGGTTTAAGGACCTGGTTTAAGGACCTGATTTAAGGACCCGATTTAAGGACCCGATTTAGGGACCTGGTTTAAGGACCTGGTTTAAGCTTTTAATGACCTGATTTAAGGACCCGATTTAAGGACCTGATGGACCTGATTTAAGAACCTGATTTAAGGACCTGGTTTAAGGACCTGATTTAAGGACCCGATTTAAGGACCTGATTTAAGGACCTGATTTAAGGACCTGATTTAAGGACCTGATTTAAGGACCCGATTTAAGGACCCGATTTAAGGACCCAATTTAAAGACCTGGTTTAAGGACCTGATTTAAGGACCTGGTTTAAGGACCTGGTCTAAGGACCTGATTTAAGGACCCGATTTAAGGACCCGATTTAAGGACCCGATTTAAGGACCTGATTTAAGGACCGGGTTTAAAGACCTGATTTAAGGACCTGGTTTAAGAACCTGATTTAAGGACCTGATTTAAGTACCCGATTTAAGGACCCGGTTGAAGGACCTGGTTTAAGGACCTGGTTTAAGGACCTGGTTTAAGGATCTGGTTTAAGGACCTGATTTAAGGACCTGGTTTAAGGACCTGGTTTAAGGACCTGATTTAAGGACCCGATTTAAGGACCCGATTTAGGGACCTGATTTAAGGACCTGATTTAAGGACCTGATTTAAGGACCCGATTTAAGGACCTGATTTAAGGACTTGATTTAAGGACCTGGTTTAAGGACCTGATTTAAGGAGGTTTATGATTTTAATAACCTACAAGTCTACCAAGTTACCCTCACAGACACAAAACAACTAAATAAACACATGATTTCTAGGTATACAGAATATATATAATAATATATCCAGGTATGCAAAACGTCCAGAAAACAAGTTAGTTAATAACAAAAAATTCACTCTATAAATGGAGACAGTCTGATAATTACTTGTGCACACAAATAGAAAATAACGACTGCGAAAATTCTTAACATTCGCACAGTCTTTACATTATTTATGTTAAATTGTGGAGGTTAAATGACGACAGTAACATCAGGAAGGCAAAATTCCACAAATAGGCGTTCCGAGATAGTATAATGTAGTATGAGCTACGAGCTAAAATAAAACAAGCAGAAGGTCCAAATTACTCGGAAATATTTTAGGCTAGTATGAAGAAATATCAGAACTAATCCTCAGTGGGACAAGATAATAGTCATCGTCACACAAGGGTTATAACCATAAACCACAGTAACCCGCTCAATAACTGGTATCTAACTAAACACAGGCTTACTAAAGACACCTGTTCAGTTTAATCAAGATTGAATAGCAGGGATCCAGTAAACGGGTGAAGTGGTGTGATAACATCTCCCAGTAAACGGGTGAAGTGGTGTGATAAAATCTCCCAGTGAAGGAGTGAAGTGGTGTGATAGCATCTCCCAGTGAAGGGGTGAAGTGGTGTGATAACATCCCCCAGCGAAGGGGTGAAGTGGTGTGATAACATCTCCCAGCGAAGGGGTGAAATGGTGTGATAACATCTCCCAAGCAGAGAGAGAGAGAAAGAGAGAGAGAGAGAGAGAGAGAGAGAGAGAGAGAGAGAGAGAGAGAGAGAGAGAGAGAGAGAGAGAGAGAGAGAGAGAGAGAGAGAGAGAGAGAGAGAGAGAGAGAGAGAGAGAGAGAGAGAGAGAGAGAGAGAGTGAGATAGATGGTGTATTAGTAATACTAGAGTAAAGTGAGTACAGTATGATGTGATGTGAGGAAGAAAAAGGAGGGGGTAGGACGGAGCAGCTACCAGAACAGTTCCAACTTGTTATGAGGCAAACTGTGCTAATCATGCCAGATCCCTGCTCCAATCAGAA